GAAAGGAAAGGAAAGGAAAGGAAAGGAAGAAATTGTGTGAATGCTTATGTTGGTCTTTGACTGGCCTATTTAATAGTATTTCTGAACACAATTATATAAATTGTTGCTAAGAATTCCTCAGAACTGATATGTAAGATATTTGAGGTCAGACATGCTGCATTATATGGTTACAGCATCCTGAGGTATGCATTATATCTGGAGGAATAGAAGAGATGCTGAAATTAATGTAAAGTTCACCACCTAGCTTTTAACATGCTGTACCAGCTGAAAGTTTTCAATGGTTTTCAAGGGTAGCCAAAGAGATTAATTCAGTTTTGAAGACTGCTGATATAGGAGATTTCTATGGAATCCATTAAAGCAATCTTCAAAAAACTTTTAGGTTTTGGAAATTGGTTTTTGAGTTTTTTTTTTCCCCTTTTCAATGACAATGCAAATGTCAATGAAACATATAGGTAATATGGCGTTATATGTGCGTATAACAAATGGCAGGTAGAAAATAAACTCAGGGTATATTCTATGTTCTGGCACTCAATATATTAATATTTCTTGTGACAAGAAAGATATATCTGTTTTATTTTAAAAAAATCAGCAACACTGCCAAGCATTCCTTGAGATAGTGCCCCACTGCCATTAGAAAGATTTTGTATTATTGTTTTTTAAAAATGTGGATGTTATTGTGCTCTTACTGAAAACTGATTTGAAAATTGAACAATAAATCTTTTAATTCACTAAAAATATTTTTGCTACTATGGAAGAAATATCTATATTAACTGCATGCTGGACAGATAATTGAAAGTCATGGGTTGTTTACTCGAGAGTAGCAAAAATGGGAGTGTTCAACTGTTATATTTTTATTTTAAAAAACCAGCATAAAATAATGTAACATTGATTATCAAATCTTTCTAAGGCAAGTGGTAATAGATTTCCTTTCCAGATTTTATTACATATTTATATGGCTGACATTTTGGTGTCCATCTAATATGTTAATAACTTTTAAGTGGTGTAATGTACAAAAACTATGCAAATCACAGATTTATGATCTATCTGGATTATTGACCAATGATCATAAAAATAAATCATAAAAACATTTTATGTTTGATCATTAAAATAAGGGCCATAGCATAGACCAAATAGCCTAAGTAACACATCCCCCCACCCCAGTCTTAAGTTAATATGCGAAGAAGACAATATAACAGTAAGGAACAAATAATTATTTATGAGGAAAGATACTTTAAAAGACTTTATATTTCTTAAGGCAAGCAAAATCTCAGCCCAACTATTATATGAAGTTCAGATCTGAATTTGCAAATGTTAAAATTCTGCAGAAAAGTCTGAGCTAAAAGCTCAAGAGGACAAGCTAAAATTTTCATTTAATTAAAAAAAAACTTTTTTTAATGCATTTGTAAATTCACGGAAAATGGCATTATATTGTACAAGACATTTGCATATGAATTAGAAAGAGGCCAAGATAGAAGAAATAAAGCAAGCATATTGAGAATGCAGATCTTTGAGAAATTGTGCTAAGGTCCACGATACCTAATGAAGTTTTCAGAATATGATTTAATTTTATTTATTTAATATTGATAAGCAATATTTTCAAGACATAATTCCAGGTAACTCTCATCTAACAATTAACCAGAACCAGGCAATCGTGAAATTAGCTAGATGGTCCATCATGTACTGTATTTTCAGATCCTTGTTAATCCATACCCATAAGATATATGTGAACAATATGGAAACAAATTAACTTTCTTACATATTACCTATGTTTCAAATGTGCCCCAACAGTTCAGAACTTCATTACATCTATGAAAGAACATGTAAATTGCATGTTCATAGCAGTTTTTAAATATTTCTTTATAGTAATGTATCAGTCATATTGAAAAACAAATCCTCTTGTATTTCAAGATGCCATAAACTGGAATATTCACAAACTTCCCCTTAACTTGCATTATAATAGTTGGCAGGAAGTAGTGTTATTCAATTTAATTTCCTCTCTTATAATATCCTTTGGGTATATTGCCTAGTTTTAAGTTAATGAAACCTCACTTGAATAGGTAGCTGCAACAGCATTTAATGAAATTTGTGATACAGTATATTATGAGAAATGTACTATCAGCATATGTCTGGTGCTATGCAACTTGGAAACAAGCCAAAGAAAATATCTTCAAACATTTTGGAAGTTTGCAAGTAGTGGAATGCAGATTATAAGTGTTTAAATGTTTCATGTTGCTAAGCAAGTACTAAAAAGTTAAACCAGCATTGTAAGTAAAGTACTGCAGCTAATTACATAACAAAGAGATCCTGGAAGCTAATAACATTAGAGTCTGCCTAAATAAGTCAACCCAACTCAATAATTATTCTAGCATCTGTTGTTTATGACAGAGAATAAGGTTAGTGCTAACAGAATAACAGAATAACAGAGTTGGAAGGGACCTTGAAGGCCTTCTAGTCCAAACCACTACTGAAGCAGAAACCCTACACCATTTCAGACAAATAGTTGTCCAATCTCTTCTTAAAAACCTCCAAAGTTGAAGCACCCACAATTTTGTTCTACTGATTAATTGTTCTAAATGTCAGGAAATTTTTTCTTAGTTTTAGATTGGTTCTCTTCTTGATTAGTTTCCATCCATTGCTTCTTGTCCTGCAGGTGCCTTGGAAAATAGGTTGACCTTCTCTTCTTTGTGGCAGTCCTTTAGATATAGGAGCACTGCTATCATGTAATCCATAGCCCTTCTTTTTATTAAAGTAGACATACTCAATTCCTGAAATCGTTCTTAGTCTCTAATTCAGTAGCACAAACACGACTCAAAATATAGAGATTAATATAGAAATTAGACATTCTCTGAGCATTGAATATTCAGAACTCAAACTCTTGTCTGTATATGAATGGAAGGCTGTGTTAGCTTTGCTCTCTTTGACATTCTAATATTTTTAACTTTGAAAGTAGGGGGGTATTATAAAAAGTTGGATAAATTTTGGAAAATTGCTCCTTAAAAATTACTAGCAATGCTTTTTTCACTCAGAGCTAAAAGACCATCTAGATATGTGTCAATAATATGCTATTTGCTATACAATACATTGTATCTAAAATATTTTCTCTGGGTCAAGTTCATCAAATAATCAGTGCTCAATAATCAATTGTGATGTTCAAACTTTCTAGCAATTGAGACTTCATGGAGGGAATGGAGATAAAAGTTTTTCTATATACATTTTTCTAACTGTTTTAAGTTCCTTCTCCTGCCCTAAAATATTCAAAATGCTATATGCTTTTTATTTTAATACAGCAGGGCTGAGCTATTTCCTTTCTAAATTGAAAATGCCAAATTGCTTTAGCCTATGAAAGCCATTCTATGCTCACATAACTTTAACTACGGTCCTTTGTTCATTTTCCAATTCTACTGTAACCATTTTTCTTACTTCACCACTGATTTACACTGCATTGGTATAATTTTTCTGTAATATAGGTCAGGAATAGAAAAGATGAATTCTTTTTTTTCTAAAGTGCAAGTTTTTGAGCAAATTTTTTTTAGAGTTTCTATTATTTATTTTTTTCTTTGGCCTCCATCTCGCTAATCCAAAGTTAAAAGCTGTTCATTATTACCATTAAGCAAGTATGGATCATTAATACAAAATTTGTGTAACTGTTTTATAAGAATCAGAAACCTGGTGCAATTATATAAATTAATCATATGATGAACAATAGGATATATCTAAATATGAAAATCTTCAAAGCAGGAGGCCAAACTAGATTCTACAGAAGACTGAAGAACAGTTTATTCCAACTTCAACAGCTTAAATCTGCAAAGGTACAAGGAACATCTATATAGTACAGTGAGGTTGAAAGAGAATTAGTTGATTTTGCAATTCTAACTTATGAGTGACAAAATTAAAAGAGAATGTTTGTCAATTTTATAGATTTGAAATTGTTCTTGAGATCAAGCACTTCTCAAGAATGTTATCCTTAGTCATAAAGTTAAAGGATGGCTTACTTCTCAAATTCAAGTTCTCCTGGGTTGGAATTCAAATTGGAAACACAATTTGAAGGCCACCATAAAATTTATTTAGACATTAAACTTACTGAATGCCTTAAAGAGGCATTTATATTATATGTTTTGTGAGGTTTGGAGCTCTACATTCCCCCATTTGCTTTTCAAACTTATGACTGAAAAGTAAACTTTATTTCCATCTCATTATATGCCATTCCAAAAATCAACTTTATTTCCATCTCATTATATGCCATTAAACTTGCACTGATTTTTTTTTCTCTTTTTTAATAAGAAAAATTAGTTCACCTGTTGGCTTTGATTAGTGATACACTAATTCATCCTTTCATAAATGAAGTCTCAGCGACAATCACTGGTATGTCTTCTACCAGATTATAAAACCATGACTACCCCTAACATAGCCAAATTTTGTCTTGATACATGACAGTGAAGCACCAAATATTGGTCCATAAAATGACTTTTCTTTGATACCTTCAACATTTTATATTCTTTCTGTCTTTTTCTTCTGTTTTTAACTCTTTTAACTTCCTGTAATTGTTTTTTTTAAATAATGCATGTAGAAGTTCATGTATATACAATATGTGCATATGTACACACAAAATGGTGAAAGCCTGCAATAAAGTTTACCAATCTACCTTTCATTAAATCCATAATATATCTCTGTATGAACAATAACATAAATTAGAATGCACAGTTACCATTCTTCTCTGTCTGCATCACAGTTACAAAAGTATCTCAGATCCACACAGCTTTCTTCTAGACCACAAGCACATTGTTGGATTCCTGGAATTGATCCTCCCCAATATGGGTGTTTTTCGTTGGCACGACCAACCCACCAAACAAATGGAATTCCATCTGGAGGAACAAAGAGAGAAAATCTGCCATAGGAAATGTGAAATAAGCAGACAATTCAAGGAAATGAAATGGGTAAAGGTTTTTTTTTTTTTAATCCTATATGTCCTACCACTGGTAAAATGATAGGAAAGCAAATGGTGACTTTGGATTTATCCCCAAAATTTTCTAAAATGTAGATATGATGAGCATATGTAACTTCACTTCACTATCATTTTTGTAGCAACATATTAAATGTCCCACAATCAGATAGGTAAGATGGAAGCATGGTATCGATAAAAGGAAATTTGCAATCATTTGTATTTTTTGCTAGGATCGGTGTCTTTTGTTTTTTTTCCCCTCTTCTCTTGTTTGTGTGTGTCTCTGATTAACTTATGTATACTTATGAATAATTAAGAAAGATGCCCAAGGTGACAGGAAAACCAGCTATAAATAAAACATAGATATGCAAATTAAGGGCAGGAGGGAAGAGATTATTTCTATAGTTTAATGTTTAATTAGCTTTCCCATATAGTAGCTTGTTGATATTTCTCTCCACGACACATCAAAAATCTTTTGGACATCTTATAAAATTTAACATAAACAGATTCAAAGGATAGAGGATACAATTCTAAAATGCATAGAGGATACAATTTCCAAAGGTGAAATGTTCTTGGTGTCTTGCTGGTCTCTGAATTTAGTTTTGAACTTGAAGTCATTTTATTACTGTGCAACAGTAGTGGGATGCTACCGGTTCTGCCTGGCTCTATAGAACCAGTAGCTCTGAAGAGTAGCAGACACCAAACTGGTTCTGTGTTTGCTATTGTTTGGCCCACCCGCCCACCTGGGCTCTTACCTGACCTTTATTTCCTGCTTTTTCAACCTCAGCTGCTTTGTGCAGCATAGCTGAGGTTGAAAAAGCAGGGAAAAAAATGGCTTTTCAAATGCTGTGCACCTGCGTGCAGAGCTTTTCAGCTGTCCGGGTGGCACAGCGTAAGGTTTTTTACACATGCGTGTGCATAACATAGTCACCGAAAAGGTAGTGACACTGGTTGAATCCCACCCCTGCTGTGCAAGCTAACACCATCAATGTTTTGAGATAAGGTGAAATTCAGAGGTTGTTTCCAGGGGTGGGATGCAAATATTTTTATTACTGCTTCTGTGGGCATGCCTAGTTGGAAGTGGCTAAGTGGGTGTGGCCAAGTGACTGACTGGCCATGGCTTCTTCTTCTTCTTCTTTTGGCAACACCCCTCCCCCACACTGTTTTTTTTTGTCTCCCCAGGAGGCTTCCCTGAGGCCCAGGAGGCAAAAATCGAAGTGTGAGGGGGGGGTCCACACAGCACACACACACACATGGCCCCTTTTTGCTTCTTGGACCCCGGAGGAGTCTCCTGGGCGAAGCAGTAAGACAGCAAGGGGCATCCCGGCACAGATGATCATTGGAACAGCTGATCGTCAGGAGGGGAAAAAAAGAAATACCAGTTTAGCTGAACGGTAGCATTTTTTACTACTGGTCCACCCAAACCGGGTTGAACCGGTAGAATACCACCACTGGTTGTTTCCGTCTAGTTGCTTATCCTACCAGCCTTAGGTTGTGAGGGTGTTCTTTGATTGATCTGATTTTGCTCCTAGTTCCTGCTTATTTGAGTGGTTGGTAATGTGCATTTGATATGGAAGGATGTGCTCAGAATTGTTTCCTTTGGCCTTTAGCTGATCCTTTCTGAATGGTTTATAAATGTAATTAATTTCTATATGTCTGCTGATGGCTAATTTGTCAGATTGCCAAGCTTTAGAAATTGTCCTTCCTTCTTAGAACTGATGTAAACTATAGTTTCCAAGATGTAATTGTGGCTGAATTTCTCTATAGGCTGTGAAGTTAAATAATTCCCATCATGTGTTCTGAGTGCCAGTTTGATCTTTGTGAATGCATTCCTTTTTGTGTATATCCTGTCTGTGAATTGTGTTAGATTACGAGGATAAACACTTTTAAAAGAATTTGTGTGGGTATCCTTTCTGTTGGGAAATGTTATACTGATATTCTGCTTCTGTTCAAAACCACAGTGCAGTAACTCAGAATACCAGAAAGCAGAAATATTGAAGTACATTTTAATTTTATGTTTTTGAATTTGAGGAATGTAGTCAATTGTTTTACCAGACTAATTTATGTTTTGTGCACACTTGACTGAATCTACTTAAATCTTATGTATAGGCATGGTGTATATAAAAAAAACCCTGAAATATAAAAAAACAGGCTAATTATGAAGTACAGACAACTAATTAAGAAATGCTTTTAAAGAAGTCAGTTTATGTTGCTCTGCTCTTTTCCTTCTAATCTTAAGACTTAACAGTGTGAATTCTTGTAAAGAAACAAAAGCAAACAACAGTTTTAGGAAGAATAGAACCATTTGGGGGCATAATAAATTGAAAGAGATGGGATTTATCCAAAGCCCAGTCATACTCATTATAAAAACAAAAAGTACACTGTGATTTCCCCAGGCATGTAGCTTCTGGTGTTTTTTTTTTCTTTTCTAATTTGTGATACATATTACGAAGAACATATTATCAACTTTATTATTTTCAGCTGAAATGGTTTTTTTACAGTACCATAAGTTGCAGATATGAATAAGTTTTCCTTTCATGAATGACAAGGGAAGTAGCTCCTATTCTTTGTTCAGGTACTATGAAATTTCCAAAGCATATTTCTTAGAAGTTGTAAACATAGTCCAGGATTTGTTGGATGGCAGATAGTGCACAACTTGCAACTGGATGCTTAGCAACCATTTACAAGCAAGTTAGAGACTACCACCCCATGGTACATATGATCTGGTTTTGAAGTAACGATGGCCACGTCCCTTCCCTGTGGTCATGGGACCGTATCTCAGACACTCAGTATTTACAGCTGCTTTCAGAATCCTTTGTTCACATGATATTTATAATATATAGATATATATTATATTTATGGTCATAAGTCATGTTGGTCACAAAGCGGGTACCAAAGTCATTTATCTGTTTTAATTATTCTAAGGAGATTTATACCATATAACACATACAATTAGCTCTTGATTACTTGTACTATTTACATTTTTGCCAAAAATCAGTGTTTACTTCCAACTTTGAGCAAAAATTCTACACAGTGAATAAAAGGTTCACTTAATGATTGTGGTATTTGCTTAACAATAGTGGATTCATTTAATGGTGATATATTTAGTAACCACCACAAAAAATAAATTGAAAAGTCATGTGATGACCTGCTTTTGCAACCAACATCACTTATGACCATAATGGACAAGCTTCATTACTGTCATAAGTAATGAACAATTACATGTATGTTCTATATGATATAAACATCCATAAAGTAATCAAAACTGACAAATGACTTTGCTACCCAATCAAACCATTGCTTCCCCCACCTTCTTACCTTGTACCTCTTGCCTCTTTTTTTCCTTCCCCCATTTCCCTATTAACTTTGTTTCTATTTATATTCTATTTGCATTTTTATTATAATGAATTTTAATTAAAAAAACCTTTTTGCTATTCTTTTAAAGATATTTGGCGGCACACACAAATGTATTTAGTACTAGCAATCTAATTCCAAAGACAATTTAAATAGATATATTGGAAATTATTATCTGACTAAAAGGTGCTATATAGCTCTATAATACTTTATGCAGTTACCAGGAAACTAATGGTGAGCATTAATCAATACTAAAATGCATATTATTGGATAAGTGCATTATGCTACAACATAGAGGTATGATAAATAAACATTGCTAGGGTTGTAAGAACAAATATTTTTATAACATCTTTTCTGTGTTTGACTATTTTATTCTACTACACTAATCAAAAGATTTATGAAAGTCTCTCAAAGTAGTGCACTTGCCAAATCTTGAGTCATTTAAAACCAGACTAAATAGAAAATTTGCTAATACACTGGAGGGAGGAACCTGACAAGAGACAGGGAATATATTTCTATTGTCTAATGTATCTTTTTTAGTATCTCTTGGAGCATCTGATTCTGCCACTAAAAAATGACATAGTAGCTCACTTGAATAGCAGTGAGCAAAGGAATGAGGTTATATAGACTGTCTTATAAGTTCAACAAAGAATTTTAACACATGCTCAGGAAAGAACTTAATTATGTTAATATCAGTTTGCAATGGCTTAACATTCTGTTTCAAAGCAATATAATTACATCACAATGCTTTAAGAACAATTCTACAGTGCATAGGCATCTATGCAGATTTAACAAGGACCTCTGAGGTTGATCCAAAATGAAATAAGGCAAAACTAAGAAAAATAATAGTATTCGTATATTGATAAAGTTATTGTAATATACCTCTATCTTTCATATACAACAGTGAAGATATAAAGTACATCTACAATTATTTTCAGACTTAGTCCTTCAGAGTAGTGACTACGGACAATATATTAAAGGTTTACTGATTTTAATGAGACTAATTCTGGATCTGACTCAATGTACTATAGTTTAAGAAGATTGCCAGACGTGGATTAATTTGGTTGAAAATGTTGCAAATTTAATTCAACTTTATCTTGAGATTCTCCCCAGATTTTAACTGGGATTCTTATCTTCCTTATTACAATATAGCATTATGCCAGTATTGAAACATTACCTAATAAGACTACAACATAAGAAAAGCTGCCAGAAACCAATACAAATATTTAAAAGGCTTAATTTCTTACGTTCTCCATTCTTTACTCACAGGCACAAGCCCCTTTCTCATCTTTTACTTTTTCCCTTAATTTCTCTTAAAAGCTCACTTCAGATTTTAAAAACTAACAAAAGTTATCTTTCCATCTCCTTCTTATATCATATAAGGAAGAAGGAATATTATATATGATCACCACCTTGAGTTATTTACAAAAGAAATAAAATAAAGGCAGGATATAAATAAGTAGGTAAATATATTTATATCCAGATACCTTAAGAAGTAAGAAGACCATTAGCAAACCAGTGACAAACAGTTTAGGGTGATTTTTCCAGAGTCATCCAAAAGAATTTGTA